CTTTTAAATAGACTGGTAACAAATTTAGTTTTTAATATTTGATTAGTTTTATAATAAATGAAAAACTATTATAAAACTTGTTTTTTATGTTGCTCCACGATCCTCTTGTTATACCTTGACAAAAGTTATCAAAAATATCTCTTGTACAGGCCATAATCGCTTGCTTTTTCATTCACTACCAAGTTTCAAATTATTCTCGCTAATCCAATCTCCTAAAAACCAATTTGTATTTTAATATTATAAAGTTTCGTGAGACGGGATCATTTAATTTTGTTTAACCCTGAGTCGGAAGGTGAGGTGAAGCTATTTAAGCGAGATGCCTGGAACATAACTCTCATCCTAAATACACTCATTAGGTCAATAACCCGTCGGAAAACTTGGCAGTATTAGCGACAAAATATAATATAATATTCATTTAAAGAGGCAATGATGAACAAAATTATACAGCATTTAACTAACTATATTTTTTCCAACCTGATAATTTGATCTTTATGGGATAATTAAAATATTATCGGTATCGCTTATCATTAACTCAGCTTCCGTAGCCCCTCAATTCCGTCGTAATTCTCATTCCTGAAGCTCAACCTGCAAGTATGTCCAGTTGTGTCCAAAAGATTCCTTTTCAAATAAAGCCTAGAGCCTAGAGAACAAATAGTTTTGCTTGGATGTGTTCCAGCCTTGTGAGTGACTTAGTTAATTGTCCTGAAATCTTATTAACTAAGACGGCTACTTAAAAGCAAGATGAGGCATCGAGTAATCAAATATTAAACCGCAAGCTGACATTCTACAAGAGAGCATTCTCGGCCTCATCGTTTTACATATACTACTGACTTTTTTTTACACATCCCAACATCATCACTACCAACCTACGATTTATTTTCTAACGTGCAATCCAAACAACCTGTAACATCCAAGAACACATTGCTTATTTAAATGCAAGCAATGAAGGATTAGACTGAATGAATTACAACGAAACGGTCCTGCTCTCCACATCCACCACAAAGATATACTGACTTCCACTCAAGTCCGTTATTTATGACCTCACCGCGAAAGTAGACCCACGCAAACCTTCAAGACTTATGTGATCACAACTTAGCATAACACTTGGACAATTAGAACAAGCCGACGTCCTAAATCGGAGAATTCCGGGCCCCATCCTGTTAAAGTATACTATTTATTATCTTACACATCTCATCATCATCACTACTACCATGGATTTTTCTCCTAACCTGTAATTTAACAAACCTACTACTGCTCAAGACCTTTCAGCACTTTCCCATCTCATCAACCGCCATAAACGACGATGGCGACGAGACCTACCTCACCTATATCTCATTGAAAGGCACCATTTGCGGAGTCAACTAACTGATGGGTTCTTGTGCCCAAAGTTTTCACACTCCAATCCTCCCTAACCATACTGCCCAAGCCCTTTTTACACTTTTCTATACCTACATGGTGATCCCTCTCATTGGGTGACACCATTGACTGGTTAGTCGTTAACTATGTCCTCCAGGTGTAGTGGAGAAAAGCGACCTATTTGATAGAACCTCCACTTCCTCGAGACATCCTAGGCAGGTAATACCTCTCATTGAATGGCACGATTGCCGGGTTTTTAATAACTTGTGTTCTCTATTGTACATCCCCCAAGCCATCCAAGGTCTCTAACCTCCCTATCGACAATAACCTCACCATGTCTTATGCCAACGACCTGATTCGTCGCTTCCAACACCTCTACACATAACTCACGATCCACCCTAACCACATTGCCTAAGTACCCATTCTTTCTTGAGATCTCCTAGCCTCGTAATACTTTTCAATGAGAGGCACCATTGGCTGATTTCTCGTAACACGTAATCTTCACCTGTAGGGCTGGTCAAAGTGTAACCTCTTTGGACGTACGGAATTGAACTGCGGACTACTCCTCTAAACCATCCAATTGCCAGGGCATACTTTCAATCAGAAGTTCTCTGGAGAATTTACAAGCCCCTTACTTTCCACATTCCGCAATAACTCCAATATTCCTTATGTCAACGCATTCATACTTTTTCGCCACCCAAACTTTCACTCTCTTGATCCACCCTATACATACTGCCCAAGCCCTCTGTACACTTTTCCATCCAAAACGATGATACCCTCTACTTAGTCATATATTTCAGTGAGTGGTTTCATTGACTGGTTTGTCAAAATATGTGTCCTCCAACATACATGTGGGAACCGTGGGCTTCGTCTAAACATCAACAAAAAACAGCGCACCCCATCAATCACAACTTCTAAAAAAATTCCCCAAATTCCTTATGACCTCACTAAACTCACGTTCCACAACATTCATTTTGTGAAAAAATTTGATGTGTCCTTATTCCAACACCACCACAGATATCACATGACCATCATAACCATACTCCCTTAGCCCTGCCTACAGTTTTCCAGCCAAAACTAATAGAGCTTCGAGACCCATGATACCTCTTACTGAATGACACCAATGACTGGTTTGTCAAAACATGTGTCCTCCAGGTGCACTGAGTTGAACTGAGTACTTACCCCAAGCCATACAATAACCATCGCATCCTTCCAATCAAAGGTTCTCACCTTATTTATCCTAGCTTACTACGTCACTAACCTCACTATCTATAATAATCTCAACGTTCCTTATGTCAACGAGCTGATCCTTCCTCGTTTTCAACACTTCCATCCATACTTCACCAAATATCCTACCCATACTGCCCTAGCCCTTTCTACACTTTGATATCCTAAGAGCCCGCCAATTCTCTCCTAGCCTAGTTTTCACTTTGAGTGCCCGAAAAAGATGTTTTCCATTTACAATTTATTGTAAAAATGTATAAAAACCTACCCAGCGTGCGTTACAGAAAGCAGGATAACGATCGATTACGTTTTTTTTTAATGAAAACAAACAACTTATTGTTTTTTCCGTTCTGGGTTAATGATAACGGATTCCCATGTTACGTGCAAATTGTCAAATTGGGCAAATGTATCCCAAGTCGAACAACGAGCTTTCCGCCAATCTCATTTGAATTTTAACAAGGCACGTCTCACGAGGCAAGGCTAGAGGAAAATTGCCGTGTTTTTATTCGGCGACAGTGTGCCACTCGTTACTCGAACGGGGCAAGGCGTGTTTTTTTATTGCATAGGAAAATCCGGCAAATGACAACAAATGACGTACATAATACCAACTGAGTGGATAAAGGGGTCACAGCCGCCTTGCAATTTAAACAACGATACTTGATTTATAGTGGTCTTAAATTTTACTGAACTATTCTAGGCGGAAAATGAGGAGAGGCAATGAGTAAATAACACTTTACAAACTTTCGAATAAAACTTCAAGTTTTATTGAAGATAGTCCAAATCCGCTTGATCAGGTATATAAACTATTACGTAATTTATATAAAGGTTAACTTTTTTGTTCATTTTACAAGGGAGACGTTGAAGGGAGATCCTTTCCTAGTGTTGTGAGGTGTCTCATGGATTAATATTATGACTATCATATCCATTATATTTAGTGGTCTATTGACCAAACTACTTCTTTCCCTTAATTCATCTTTTTTATGTAAGGTTTTTGGTTGAAATGGAAAACCTAGTGCCACGAGCGGGATTCGAACCCACGACCTTCGGCTAAATACGCCGCTGCTCTAACCTCTTGAGCTATCGTGATTTCCGAAGTCCCAAGTCACGATAGATCAAGTGGTAGAGCAGCGGCGTATTTAGCCAAAGGTCGTGGGTTCGAATCCCGCTCGTGGCACTAGGTTTTTCATTTCAACCAAAAACCTTACATAAAAAAAGATTAATTATTATGACTGTTCTTTTTTGGTCTGTTCAACTGCATTCTACCCTCGTTAATAGACTCCTTCATAGCTTCATAGGACTATACAGCAATGTACAGCTCTTCCTGGAGACCACAGGCCTGACGGGGACCTTGTCAAAAAATGTCTCTAAAACTGTTGTCTTTGGATTTTTAAGAAAAAATTAATCAATGGGGACAAAGTCTAAGTTTCAAAAGCAAACTGCTCATTTATTCGCCTGGTGGAACTACAGACTCATGACGCTAATATGGCTTGAGAAACTACTGACTAATGATGCCTCGTGGAACTACTGACCACGTCGTCAACATGGCGTCATAAGCCTCCTGCAACTACTTACTCATCCGCAGTTAAAGCGTTATATAGTTGCTATCTGTTTGATAATTAGTTAAAACTGTTTTATAAAATAATTGAAGAAAGTCTTACTGTCTTTTTTCCTAAATAACCAACGCTAATATGGCTACCAAACCAAGTACCATTTTTATTTAATATCTGTCAATAAACTTGCAAATTGTTTGGACTCAAACTAGTTTTGTAACTTAGTTGGAGAGCCAGATATTAAATATGGAAAAGATTATATATTTCGGAGCAGTAGTCACATCTATTTGAATCAGTTATTTTTATTTTGAATAGACACTCGATACAAATAATATGGATTAACATCTTGGCATTTGTGTGGTGTTTAGTGACCGTTAGCCGATGACTATTTGGAGACCGTGAGGTGCGGTCTGGTGTGACGTAGGTTTTAGAATGGTGACTCTCAACACGACTCACAAGAATGACACATCTACACAGTAAACAAACACTTTGAGGTCTGAAGATGATCTCACTAAAGGTCGGAACATTGGCACGATAAAGAAAATGTTCTTCTAAAACCTACTTCACACCAGACCGCACCTCACGATTTCCAAATTATTTTGGACATTTTTTGTTTACTTATGCGCTCTTAAGCCAGCAAGTACCGTGTCTAAGATGAATGGGTTCAGTACAGTGAAGGGTAAAATACGAACTTTTACCTTTTAAAGCAGCTTTCTTTGGCCAATTGATCCACTTTGTCGTCGTATGTTAAACCTGCATGAGCCCTAACCCAAGATATTAAACTTTCTTATCCATCCGTTTAAGGCAATTTATTTTCTTTAATATTTAATACATGAGATGTTGTCACAAGCATATTTCTGTGTGTTACAGTGCACCGAGTGTAACGACGACAGCCCGACACTAGTTTTGGACTGGACGCTCGAAGATGGGACAAGGGCCCAGCTTGTACTGGGAGCTTTGAAAGCCCTGGCCCAACTGTTGTATTCAACCGATGCTGACATAACCCTACAACAAGACCCTTTCGACCGTCAACATTTCGTGTGAGTATTGTTTATTCGAAAGTATTAAGTTTATTAAGTAAGTAAATTTTTCTGTGGGTGGAGTAAAATGAGTAATTTCTTGTCATACATGGCGGATTAATGTCGGGTGTCATTGGTAAAGAGTGAAACCACCTTTTAAAAATTATCATGAATTAAAATTCAATTGGCAGTGCTTGATATTAGAACCCAGAACCTCTAGGTTGGGTAATACGAATCGGAACTAAGTAAAATGAGTAGAGAGATAGAGAGTAACACGACGACTTGCCACGTTTTGGTAGGGTTTGCACATCTATGCGACGGCAAACGCACGCCACGTACAGTCACACAGCGTATATCACAATAATCAGTATCGCAATCGCAATGCCTCTTGCGTTCTTAATGCATTATTTTGAGCAAAACCATGTAATAAATAGTTAGTTAAATTTGATGGGCACAACCATGTAATAAATTGTTAATTAAATTTGATGGGCACAACCATGTAATAAATTGTTAGTTAAGTTTGATGGGCACAACAATGTAATAAATTGTTAGTTAAATTTGATGGGCACAACCATGTAATAAATAGTTAGTTAATTTGATGGGCACAACCATGTAATAAATTGTTAGTTAAATTTGATGAGCACAACTATGTAATAAATTGTTAGTTAAATTTGATGGGCACAACCATGTAATAAATTGTTAGTTAAATTTGATGGGCACAACCATGTAATAAATAGTTACTTAAATTTGATGAGCACAACCATGTAATAAATTGTTAGTTAAACTTTATGAGAAAAACCATGAAATAAATTGTTAGTTAAATTTTATGAGCAAAACCGTGTAGTAAATTTTAGTTAAATTCATTATTTCAAAAAAATGGTATTCCGGTGTTTTGATCAATGTTCTACCAAACCATTAAAAATAATTTTTTTTTAATGTAAACTAATGAATTTTTGATCTCTGTTAATTTGGTTTATACTAAAATCAGTTTCTTGTAATTAATATAACGACAATAATACATGTGGTTTGAAATAAAAATATGAGTATCCGGTTCTTTCGTCTTTGACTGTACTCGATGCTACCCGACGAAAATCTGGGGAGTGGGAATAGCATAGCGTAGAGTAGGGTAGCGTTGCAGAGCATCGGGCAGATGTGCACGGGATAATACAGTCTTATGGAAAATTCGACTTTGGATTTGCGTAGGGTAGCATCGGCTAGCGTCGCATAGCGTTGCATCGAGTGTGTTCCCGGCTTAAGTTATGTGTTACGTTTCTGGGCAATTCGCGTAAAACAATAAAGGCACGAAGGGGTTTCCCTTTTTTAATGAGCGATTCTACGTTGTTTTAATTTGTGTTGATAAAATGAGCAGTGACGATACCGCAATTTTGTCTTCGAACTCGAATTCTACCCAATATCCAAGACCGCCTATCTTAGACCGGTGCAAAACGTGGAGGACAAGACTGAATGAAGGAAAATTTACTCAGTGCACATTCACATTAAATAAATAATCTTGCCCTCTACTGTACATCAGCAACAAAGAGACACCGACTTCCACTCAAGACAAATACCTAGGTCTATACCTAGACAGCAGACCGACGTGGAATCCCCCACATGACTTAAATGACAACAGTTGACCAAAAGACATGGACAAGTACGAAGACTCCTAGGACCAAAATCCCTCCTGATAGTTAAGGCTCAACTAACGTTATACAAGAATTTACTGCGACCACGTTGGACATAAGGGGTAGAACTGTGGGGTTCTGACTAGCCAACATCCAACGCATTCAAAATTCCCAATCAAAAGTCCTCAAACAAATCTTCAAACCGTTTAGTTCGTCTCTAACCCTACTATTCACAACGACCTCAACATTTCTTTTGTCAACGAACTGATCCGTTCGAGATTCTTTTTTTTCTCCCTATCCACCTCCCCTCCGTACCTAAGGGAGACCCCATACCGGCGGACCACGGCAACTAAACTAATTCAAATGGGATGCCAGTAGGGATCTTATTGTGCTTAACGTCTTCCTTCGACCTTGCCCTGAAAGGGAAGACCAAAGGAAGAAGGGAAATTTTTTTCTTATTATTAATTTATCTAATCTAATAGGTCTCCCCCTTGCTGGTTAATCCTTTTGAATACACTTTGTAATAAATACAATATTTTAATAAATAAATACAATATTTTAATATATAAATAACAATTATGGGTACAAGGAGTAACCAGCCCGGAATTAAAAGTTCAGGGAAACGCTAAGTTCTAACAAGTTACTTATCTTAGGAAGAAAAAGAAGAAAAAAGAAAGAAAGAAAAAACTAATCAGGTACTTTATCCACTATAGCTCGGCTAACAGGTTTGAGGACCTCAAACGTCCTCTTTTCTTTAACCAGTTCGTTGAGGGTCGGTTGGCAAGTGTCGCGGAAGAGGAGCTTTACTGGTTCCCTCACACTCTCAAGGAGGGGGCAGTTGAATAGTCTGTGTTAGACGCTGTCATCAACTCCGCAGTCGGGACATAGTGGACGGTTAGCTCTACGGAATCGGTGCAAGTAAGCGTTGAAATTTCCGTGACATGTCATTATTTGTGTGATCCAGAAATCTGGTTGAAACCACTTTGCTCTTGCTCGGTCCTCAATTCTGGGTAGAAACTCGTGGGTTAACCTTCCCTTGGTGCTTCTGTCCCATCTTTCCTGCCACAAGTTGCCTATCCAAACTGTAAGGATCTCCCGGATATGCTTTCTAGGTGCAGTTCGTAGCCTTTCCCTATATGACGCATCCAAATTTACCATTGTTGGCTCCTTTCCATCTCTTAGCTGCCGGATTGCAATTCTACTGTGGAGGACAATGTCTTCTGGTGCAGCGGAAGCAAGGACTTGGAGGGCGTGAGTAGGGGCTGTCCTATAAGCTTTAGTCGTTCTCAGGAGCGCTATTTTTTGACTCTGCTCGAGGATGCTTCTACTCCTACTTTGCAATTTTGTTCCCCAAGCTGCTCCTCCGTACGTGGCAATGGTCAGGTATACGCTTTTGTAAGTGATGGAGAGCGCCCCCGTTCGAGATTCCAAAAATGTAACACCAACTTCTTGATCCATCCTAACCCTACTGCTCAAGCCCTCTCTATACATTCCCACCCCAAGAACTCGCCACGTCGCCTTAATAGACGGTGACCTCGAGACATCCTTGTACTATAATCCCTCTCACTGAGTGCGAGCATTGGCAGGATTCTCATAGCACGTGTCCTCCGGGTGGAACGCTGGCTTTAGTGCTACGGCTGGGACCGTGTGATATGAAAAACGTCAGTGATCACATTTGTAATATCTACCAATCTGTATATTACATATAATATTTTCAATTGCTTTCATTATGTTAAAGATTTCCTCCATTTTTTCATTGACTTTAAATTTTTTTCAATAATTAATGATTTAAACATCAATTTAAAAACAATTAATTGGCCTATACGCTTTAGTTTTAATTAATTTAGTTTTAATTGAAAATGTCAATTATAAAATCTACGATGATTAATGTTGGTTTACAATAAATAAAAGCGTTATGGCGAATCCGGTCTTGACGCCATGTAACGCCCTCTTTTCATGAGGAATAGATCATCGCTAGAGATGGGAAAAATCTCTCATTTTCAGGATCGGAGAAAAACCGGTCGAAAACGATATTTTCACCGTTTCTTCTCTCGCTGTGAGCCAAGGGCCTTGCGCAGTTTGATTAAATTTTAATCCATATTTTGGCTATATATTTTTTAACCGCCTCGGATTTACTTCTACAGTCCAAATAAAGAGCGATTTTATGAATTCTGACCCGGAGGATTTTTCACGTTCACGTTTTAATCAACAAGAATGGAAACGTAGATATTAAATTCTTATAAGGATCTGTCTCAGAGGTGAAAGAATCTCAGGAAAAGGTTTAGAAAAGAAAAATGAAAAAGCGCACCATTGAAAGTTTTTTATCCAGCACTCGATCGAACATATCATGGTATTTATTTATTAATATTTCTACAAGCCAGGAAGTAATATTTCAATTTTATTATTTATAAGCACCATTTGTGTCTGAAAATAAATTATTATCATTAACTCTGAAAAGGTGAAAAACCGTGGAAATCTCAGTTTTCAGAAAAAAATGAATACTTTGTACAATTTCTTCTTCTTATTTTGTTTTTGTTGGTCACTTTCAGTTTTATGGTGTGATAAATTAAACATTCTTCGTGATAAAAAGTCTCTTTATTCGAACTATTCATTACAAAGCTACCATTTGACTCAGCTTGAGACCTTTCCCCAAGGATACGAAAGTTACCTTAAGTGAATTCAGCTGAAATGAAAGCCCTGGCAGAAGTCAGTGACACCTATGACCTGACCCTAGCATGGGTCCCTGGGCCTTCGGGCCAAGAGGCAATGAGAAAGTGGCCAAAAAAGAGCCAATATGAATTCTGAACCCTACTGCAGCCTAGTACCTTGCCACAAAAAAAAGACATATCCATAAATGGATCCTAAATAAGTCCAAAAACTGGTGCACCCCTGTCACAAGGCATGCGAAAAGATTCATAGAAGGGTCATTCGCAAGTCCAACAAAGGAATTACTGGAAAGTAACCGCAGCAGAACCAAGATTCTGGTTGGACTCCTGAAAGGGCACTGCCGCCGAAGAAGGCCCATGATAGAAGTACAGACAGAAGAAACACTGTGCAAATATTGCCAGAAAGAAGAGGAGACCGCGGAACAGGTTTTATGAGGGTGTAGATTCTTGCGACTAAGAGAAGAAAAGCCGCAGCAAGATCCTACACTAGGATCCGCTGGGAAGGTTGTGAAGGTTGGTTAACAACCTGAAGCTGGACAGAGAATTATAAAAATACAGGAGCACATCAGATCTATTCAGATCGACGTACAGAAGGCCTTGTGGCCGCCTCTTTTGTCTTTAACCCTATCTCTATCTCCAGCATGTTCTGACGGAGCTCATTTGGAATTAGCATGCCGCTTCCTCTGTGTAAAATTCCAGTTTTATTTCTGGGATTACTTCAGAGATATGTGGC